CATTTCAGGTCGAAGAAAAATTGAGCAAAGGCTAGATAGAGGAAACAATGTGAAATTAGCCAGAATCTGGGATGTATGGAGAAAAGAGTTAAAAATTAGGCTGCTTAGGTAATTTGGAAGCACTTAACAAGCCAAAGGCCCAAAGGTTTAGAGCAGGGAACAGCATGTCAGCTCTGTGTTTTAACAAGCAATAGAATCTAAGATAGAAAAAAATGAGTGAAACAGGGTCAAGGACTCCAGTGTGGTGCCTATGGCAATAGTCCAGGGGACAGGATGGTTTGAGCCAGAACAGTGGCCAGAGTTAGATATATGAGTGCCCCTGAAGGGATAATAGGATTAATGCTATTATTACAGCATTATTAATGCTAATTATTATTAAGAAATAATAGGATTTAATGCTGTGATTAGATGGAGTGGCAATAGAGAAAAAAAGTTAAAACACGATAGTGGTGGTGATGATGGTGATAACGGTGGTGGTAAGGTGCTGGTGGTGATGGCAATCAGCTTTCCTTGGCTTTAAGCTAAGCCAAGCACTTTGCATGCATTATTTAATTTAATCTTCACAACACTGTGAGATAAATCATACTATTTCTCCAATTTTAGAGTTGAAGGAACTGAAGAACAGAGAGATGAAGTAACTTGCACCAAAAAAACCTGGATGACCCTTTAGAAAATAAGGAATGAATCAGAAGAGACCGGAAAGAGAAAGAGATCACTTCTGTGCACAATGAATTTAAGTTACCCAATTATGTGGATCTAAGCCCCCACTAGCAATTTGAATGTGTCCCTGCCATTCAGGAACACTTGCACTTTACTTGCGTTTTCTTAATGAGTGCAGGCAAAGTACAAAAAATCCCAGGCTTTCTTAAATCAGGATAGATTATCTTGACCACAGTGCTCCATCCACCATGCCTGTCACTCTGTGACAAAAGGAAATTAGATTCATCTGATAAGTATTGTTTTTCACAAAGTAATGTGGGATGTTTATCCAATACCCTGTGGTCTTCTAGGTGTTTGCAAATTGATTTTCTGATTATTTGTTCCAGTGATTTTCCAAGCATTCAGTGTTTTTCCAAGTTAGATTTACAATGTGAGTGAGCTAAAACTTCATATTTGCCTTCCCTTTCCTGTAGCAATATAAATTTTTAATGTTGCAGTTATTTAGGGTGTTTGCATGTTGCATCAGGCATACTCCAGGAACATGTACACAAATCTATATGACTGTGAGTCCACTGATTGAAGGAGATAAAGCAAACTTCATGCAGAATCCTTCAGAGTATATGACTATATCCAAAACAGAAACATACTGAGAAATATGATTAGTTCAAATATCCCAAATAAATTCAGTTCTTCACTCCTTAGAAATGTTTATATGATGAATTTTTTTTTAATTAGGCTCTGAGTAACTCATTAGTAGAGCACTTGCTTAGCACACATGAGGCCATGAGTTTGATCCCCAGCACTACGCACACACACAAATACACACACTCACATAAAAACATTTCACACAGAAAGATTATTACTATGTTCACATAGCTGTACTGTTAACATTGACCCAAAGCAAGATATAAAAGAATTTTTTAGCCAGGTGTGGTGACGCACACCTGTAATCCCAGCACTCTGAAGGCTATGGTAGAAGGATCAAGATGAGTTTGAGGCCAACCTGGACTACCTAGTGAGTTCAAGGCCAGCCTGGACTACATAGCAAGATCCTGTCCCAGAAAAAACCAAAAAAAATTTTTTAAATGTATCTTTTCTCAATCTCGCCTCTCTGAAGCCAGGATTTGGAAGTAAGGTTTAGCTCTTAAACCCTAGAGGAATTCATTTTTCTGAGTGTATGTGAACACAATCTACTATGGTATGGATACAGTTTGAGTGTGTTCCCTGAGAATACACTTGTTGAAATTTAATCCCCTTTGTGAGGTACTAAGAGGGTGGAAACAATACAACTCTGGTTTTTAGAGGTGGAGCTGTGAAGAGCTGATTGGGGTGAGATAAGATCATCACAGCTGAGTCTCCTGATTGAAACCTGGTGGCTTTATATGAAGAGGGAGAGAGACCAGGAAAGACACAGGTGCCCTCCCTGTCTCTTGCCACGCGCTGCCCTGTGTTGCCTTGGGATTCTGCCAGCAAGAAGGTCACTAGGTCCCCACCCTAGGCCAAATTGATGACTCTGGCCCCTCTTGGCCTTTCATCATCCAAAACCATGGCTAAATAAACCTCTTTCCTTTATTTTCCTGCAGTTTTTTAAAAATGGACTAACAATCTAAAGTTGAGTACTACTAGGTAATCAGAAAAATAAAATCCCAGAACAGACCTTCCCTGGGTAAAACGAAAGGCTCAGTTAAAAAATACAAAAGGCTATTTCAGCTCAATAGTCTACGAATCTACAGACTGACCATTAGGATGATTAATGAAAATTATAGCAAAGGTGATTGTGCAAAAATGCAAAATAGAATTTAAGTAACTGCCTCCCTGTAAGTGTAAACCTCTTCATTTTTTTAAGTATATACTTTTAGAAGTATCATCTCTCCTGAGACTACTAAATATTACAGATATGTACAGAAAGTTTTTGTCAAATCCATGAAACCAAAAATGTATTTTATGAAAATGAATGGTTAATAAGATGAACAGATCTGACAGTCTTCATATGACTAGAACTCAACATCAAAAAGCAGGTATACTGGTCAGCCTTTCCACTGCAGAGACACAACACCCAACATTCACACCTTAAAGGAGCAAAGGTGTAATTTGGCTCCGGGCTCAAAAGATTCAGTCTTGGTTGGCTGGCTTCAAGGCTCAAGCTATGGCAGCCAGGAAGCAGAGAGAGAAGAAAGGAGCGAACGGGAACACACCCTTCCAAGTCACACCTCCAGTGACCCACCTCAAGCTAGACTCACCTATTAACAGCACATTCAGCCAGGACCTCCTTAACAGATTAATCCACTGATGAGTATAGGGCCCCCATGATCCAGTCGCTTTCAAAAGCCCCACCTCTGAACACGTGAGACTTCCAGAGAACATATTGGATCTGTAAGTTTTAAAACAAAAAATTACACAGCTCCGCTGGGGATTTAGCTCAGTGGTTCCAGCACCTGCCTTACAAGCGCAAGGTCCTGAGTTCGATCCCCGGTACCAAAAAAAGAAAAAAAATACACAGCTTTTGACTGGCAGTTTTTGACATCAGCTACCCCTGATGCCTTTGCCCAGTTAGGCCCAGGAGTACTGAGGACTGTTATTGTTTCCCTAAATCCTACAAGATAAAACCCCAAAAGTTCCCTTTATTAAATATCCTGCTAAGAATGTGTTCTCAGTCTTCTACAGGGCCCAAGGCTGATTGAGGGATAATAATAACAACATCTAATAATTAAATAAAGACTAAGTTGGAAAAAGCGTACTAAGTATTTCCCCTCATTCATAGTAAGTGCTCAAGCCATACGTGGTGTCGCCTTACATGGTGTCACAAGCCTGTGATTCCAGCACTTAGGAGGCTGAGGCAGTAGGATCACTGTGAGTTCAAGGCTGGTGCCGGGCTACACAGTGAATTTGAGGCCAGCCTCAACTACATAACAAGACTCTGTTTCAAAAAACAAAAAAAAACCAAAAAACCCCCCAAAAACAACCATAGTAAGTGCTCAATAAATATTATCTATTATTAGGATTTTTATTTGCTAATCATCTCTGCCCTATTTGGTTCAATAACACAGATTACCTTCTGATCGATTGATTTATCCTCAAAGCTCTTTATTGGAAATTTTGAATGAGCATATATTTTGCCTAAAACTTTTCTCATGAAGGATGATTTTTATGTCCTTTAAACTCCTAAAGAACTTTAAAAAGAAAGCAAACTTCAAAGTCATATGGACCCAAGTCGTTTTCACAGCCATTGCTCAGTGTTAATGTCAGTCTGGGAATGAACCTGGGAAGCTTCAGAATACAACACGAGTGGGAAGAAACGTGACCCTGAACGCTCTGCGGTTTTCCCTATTGGCAGATGTTTGACAGGTAACAAGATAAACGCCTGGAGCACAGGATGCTGTTTTGTTATTTGTGTAACATTTAGAAACTAATCTCACAGCAATACCGAGATTCCTAATTCTAGTTATATAATGAATGCTGGAAGTTTTTCTTAAAAGTCAGAATACGTTGAATATATTAGGACATGAGAGGACATATTTGTAATAACTTATTTTTCTTTCTCCTCTTTTCCTACTAATCGCAGACTGACAGGGAGATAGACTTTGCGGAGATCAGCAAGGGGACCTGGAGATGGGGGGAAACAAGCAGGAAGGGAGGAGAAGTAGTAAAAAGGACCAAGATGCAATATATATGTATCAATATCCCACGAGAAATCTATTCTTTTTGTCTAACAAACATGTACTGATAAAATAATTTTTTAAAATAAAATGACAATCTCAGTAGATTGTTTACTGAACTGCACTGCTTTAAAGTGTTTTCTGGAAATCTTGCTGTCCTCAAAGGACAACTTAAAAGTCCCGTAGTATCCAAAAATTTAATCTTTTTCTTTCAAAAGAGGAGCTCGTTTTTGGTCGTCTGCTCCACATCCACATTGTAAGTAGAAAGTAAGGCTGAGGAACCAGCAAGAATATCAATCATAGCACACAGTTGCTTGGTCCCTGCTTTCCTTTGCTTCTACACCAAATCCTAAATTCAAATGCTAGCTTCACATTCTTTGTTGCCAGTAACTTTTATCTCCTGCCTCCTGCTCACATCCCGGGTAGGGTAGTTCTACTCCAGCCACTCTGTGAGGAGTTCACAGCTTTTTCTAAAAACACATCACAAACAAATTTCTAAACTGCCTGAAAAATTTAGCGTTCCCACACCGGGAGTCGAACCCGGGCCGCCTGGGTGAAAACCAGGAATCCTAACCGCTAGACCATGTGGGACACGACGAAAAGTGACGCGCGATCTAGCAAATTGAGTCTTTCTCCAAGACTTCCGCTCTCCGCCCCGCTTGTCAACCTGAAACTTCTCTCTGCGCATGTGCCTACTGTGCAGGTTTTAACCCCTTCAAGGCCTCGCTTTGTTCCGTCTTTTACAGGACCTCCCGATCCTTGTTCGGTGTATACCCGACCCTTTTGTAATCTAATCCGATCTCCTGGTCCTAGATTCCAAGTCGACAATGACGTGGACACGGATTGGATGCGCCATTTTTCATTTTTCTCTAAAACCCCTGCAGCGTACGAAGGGACTGGTGTTGGAAGGGTAGAGGCTTTCCCAGACCGCCGGGCGGAGGCCAAGCTGGGCCAGCGGCTCCCGGGACGGCACCCGTGCACCAGCTCCACTGAGCCTGCCCTGGCGTCTGGCCTCCTCTTTGCCCTGCTCAAGACTGGCCACGGGCACCATCCTGTCCCTAGAAAGTTGATCTTTTCTCTGAAGAAACAGAAACCGAACTGAGGACTGCCTGGAAGCCCGGAACATTCCGGGTTCTGTTGACTCGACGGCTGAAGGCAGGATTTGTGTCCCTCAGAACAGGCTGTGGTGGTCTGTGAAGGTAGCTTCCATGGGTGGAAATTCCTTGTGGCTTCCGAACCCTCCCTTGACTTGAACGGCGTTTCATTGGGAGCAGTTTATGCTTCAGCATAGCTTTATGTTTGGATTAGGAAAGCACAAAGAGCCACTCATTCGGACTGGGCAGCGTACAAGGGCTGTGTCTCTTCGTGCACCTTGTGGCTTTAGCTGTACTCAGTTGTTTTCACTAGCAACAGACACTTTGTAACCCCTTTAAAAGTTAAGCTCCCTCTTGCTCCCCACATGCCACGGGGACTTAGTACTCGCTGCCCCTCTGACTGAAGCCCCTTCAGTGTGACCCTCAGCATCAAGAGGGGGCGCACAGAACAGATCCAAAGCAGAAACCGCTCTGCCAAGATAAAGCTCCCTAGCGGGAGGGAACCAATTCAACAAAATCAAAACTTAAGATCCCTCTAAAGAAAAACTGGAAGGATTGACTGCAAACCTGTAATGCATATTGGACACTTTCAAATGTGTTTGCCCACTTAATTTTCATGGTATGTATACCTGTGAGGTTGATAGGTCTCATCCACATTCTAGGTGGATCTTCCTAAAGGTGTATAATCTTTGAACAGTTTCATGTATTTATTTATGTAAATAAATAAACAGCTGCTTTCCTTTTGAGAACATCTGCTTTGAACACCAAAAAAAATCCTTTCCAAAACCAGCCTCATCAACTACAGGATACTTGGCATGCATACTTCCCAATTTAAGGACCCAGAGATTTGGTATGTACTTTTCAGTTTTGTATTTCTGTGTAGTAGTAATTCTTCTTTAAAAGTGTCTTACTGGTTTTAAAGGTTAAATTTCTCAGTGTAGCCCCCACCTGCCTCGCAAGCACAAGGTCCCAAGTTCAATTCCTGGTACCCAACCACCCCCCAAAAAAGTCTCTCAGTGTAACTTTGTTGGATGGACACCATCCTTAGGATGTAACCAAAATGCAAGTTTACTTTTGTCTCACACTCTCCCCAAACTGAAATTTGTTCCATTTTTCTCTTCATTGGAAGAAAATTTGAGCAAGAACAGAAAGCCTTTATGGTCTCAGTAATAAAACACAGTTGAGGATAATATGCTATTCAATAACTCAATTTTAGTTTTACTGTCTCCATTAAGGATCATTTTTCTCCTATCTCCAACCCAACCACCTCACCCCCAGCTTGGGCATTGATTTCACGCTAGAAGCAGACGTTGCCGGGTCCAGCTTCTGCTGGCTCACAAGAGCCAGTTGTGGGCTTCTCTTCCTGACTCAGTTCCGTGACATCACATTAGTAGCCTGAGATGGCCACTCTGAGAGCATTCACACCATGGAAATTGGCACATGCTACAAGGAGGGGGGCGGGGGGGGAGTTGCTTGGAGAAGTGGTGAGCTGGTTAAAAAATAGTGATGTGTCAGTTAAATATTTACCAGGCCTGATTCTCTTCTCACTTCTTTGGCCTTCTTCTCTTGGAGGCTCTAGGGCAGGGAGAGAAGGAGAAAGGGAAGACAGAAGTTCCTACTGGACGGCTACTGTCCAGAGTCACCTTCCTGCTTCCTGGGTTTGCACTTTAGAGCTGACTTTTTCTCACTGGACTTGTTTGGGCCCCATTGCAAGGAAGATAGCATTGTTTGGCCTCAGACCAGTAGTACCGGGATCACCAGTAGCTTTGTTCATTCACATCCCCAGCACCACCTGCCCCTGGACTCCCAAATGAAGCCTTCAGGGCCTAGGAGTCTGAATTTTAACAAGCCTCACCCTAGAGATGATTTTGATGGCACTATTTTCTGAGAGACATGGAACTCCAAGACCATAAGTTACCTTCAGTCTCTAACAACCCATGATTCCCAAAGCTCCACATCTCTGATCAGTTTCTATTATTTTCCTTTTTGCCCAAAGCCCTGCAAAAATATGGCTTCTGGTTGTCTGTTAAATAAAAGCTAAATTCCCTGGACAAGCCTTGGGGCCAGCTTTCCATATTCCATGCCAGGCACTGCCAGCCCCTCTTGCCATGTTCTCTCTGCCTCATGAGTCCCTTTGCTCTGCCTGACTCTCCTTTCCACATATGACCCCAACTGCACAGCCCCATGTAACTTCCTCAAGTCCTTTACAAAGGGAACTCTCCTTTCTTTCTTTCTCTTTCTTTCTTTCTTTCTTTCTTTCTTTCTTTCTTTCTTTCTTTCTTTCTTTCTTTCTTTCTTTCTTTCTTTTTTTTCCTTTGGCACTGGCAATTGAACTCAGGACCTGGTTCGGCACCACTGAGCTAAATCCCCGGCCCTTGGAAAATCCCATTTCTTCCAAATACCAAAGCATAGACCTTTTAAAAGTGGTGATACAGCTTATGCCTTGCCACTCTTACTAGTTATTTAATAGGAATGTCTATGAATAAAAATCAGATTTCATAATCCTCTGGGAACCTAGTCCTGTACTCAATCATTCTGCCAAGTAGTCCTTCCTTTTATCTAACTTAAATACTTCCTGCTGTACTTCGGTGTAACAGTTGCCACCTTTTACTCTCCAGCCTGAACAAAATGCTCCAGGGAGGATGAGGAGCCAAGAGAATTTTTGCAGTTTAACCAGACCAGTAAGTGAACTGCGTTTCTCAGACTGATTCTCTCTGGGCAGCTATCCTATTTTATCCACCATTTGATACTGGAAAAAAGCCTCAAACATATTGTACTTGCCAAACATCTACATTAGCCAAAGTGATGTAGGGTGTGATTCAGGCCTGTGTTTGCCAGTCATTTAGGGCTAAAGATGGTTTCCATTTCAGTGGGCCAAAGAGTCATCTTTGTAAGGGCAACAGAAATAAAGACCAATTAAATTCCAGTCTCCCAAGGAGAGCTCTTGCCAGCATAGCCTCTCAGCCTATGGCACAAGGTTAAGCTCAGAGCTCTTCTGGGTAACATAAGAGCCCCTGCTCACTGGGCAAAGTGAGTCAATCTTCATAGCCTAACACTAGGTTCAGTTTCTAAAACTGGATCTGATCTAGAGGCCACTGGGATGACAGAGCTTCCTCAAGAGCTTATTTAGTTCATATAACTCTGTTGCTCACCTCTGTCCCAAATCTAGTAACTCCTCTTTATCCTATGACTCAAGTCAAGCATCCTGACCTCCTCACTCTGTATTCAGTGGGCCACTCTATCCTTCTCTGAACCAATCTTATATCCCTGCTTCCTTCTCTGTGGTGGACTGTATGCTCTCTGATGGCAGAGTCTGGTTCAAATCCTTTTGTATCCCCAGCTTCTAGAACAATTAGCATACATAATACTTCAAGAATTAATCTTTTCAACACTTAGTATAGGGTTGTGTGATTGATCACTTCATCCATTCATTTATTCCATAATAAATCTCAGAGGAATAGGCCTGATTTCTACCTAGCACCTAAGCTACAAAGCAAATTGAGAATCTCAGAGGGCCATGATCTTAATATTTGAATAACTGCAACTTAGAACAAGAAATCACATGGCTGTCTCCTAATATTCCACACATATACTCTTTCTTTTCCCCCAGATTTTCTCTTCATCAGTCTGACAGTAGCTATTGCCAGACCATCATCCTACTGACCTTCATCTCTTTTTCCTACTAAGGCTCAGACGTGGGGTAAGATGTGCTTATCTTATTTTTTGGAGGATCGCTTTCAGTAATGGTGATCCAAGGTACTCAGTGGCCTGGCATCTTAAAAACTTACCCATTGTGATGACCTCTTTTTCCATGCTGCCATTGCTCAGATATTGAAATCCTGGTCCTCCGAGACATTCAATTAATTTGTTTTGCCCCTTGTATGCTAAGGGGAAATCAATTTTGGCCTTGTCTAAGAGGTTAAATTTACTCTAATTCATTTTTGGACTTCCCACCAGTAGTTCTGAGTTGAGTGAATTGTCTAAACTCATTTTATTCCTTCCCTATGAAATAATCAGTCTCAATTATCATCAATGGATCCATGACCAGAGATTATGTCAAGTTCGATGTTCATCATGGCACCCAGTATATATTTGACAGTGCTTGATATAAAAAATGATAGCTATCACATATAGGATTCACTCTGCTGAATACAATTCTGAACACTTTAATCCTCACAATGACCTAATGAGATCAGTGCAAATATTATTCCCATTTTATAGAGAACTAAGATATAGAACAGTTAAGTAACTTGCTCAAAGTCTGACAACTTATAAATCACAAATGGAGAATTCATATCCATGCATTTTGCTCTGGAATCTGAACTCAATATTGTCTTCATATATCTTAATAAATGTGCCTCTTCTAATAGGAGCATATTGAATAAAATAGGAGACTGTCATTAATAATGATAATCCCTCCGGCGACAATGACAGTATACAGTCTGAACCTTGATGATATCTTTTGGAGTGAGGGAGGAATGTGCTGGGCTCTTCTTAAATTGGTGAAAATAGACATTTCATGATCTAAGACATCATAGATGTCAACATTGGCGTGGAGAAGTCATCTGCCCCAATGCCTTCTTCCTCATCATTTACTATATTTCATAAGTCTTGCCTCCTTTGTGATTGTTCAAAAATAAATGAAAGTTTCCCTCTCTCAAACCATGTCCTATGACTCAAGGCAAGCATCTGAACTTCTCCAAACAAGACTCCACCTCAAGGTCTTTGCACTTGTGTGAGAGAAGAAAGAACTTTCCAGACCAAGGAACTATCTTTATGGCTTGCTTCCTCACCTTTGTCAAAGCCTTTAGAATTGTCTAGACATAGAAATCTCATAATTTCCTCTCTAATTTCTCCTCTCAGAAAGGACTTTGCTATTGTTCACTGATTAATTGATTCAGGGAGTCAACAAACCAGGCCCAAAGATTCATGAAGCTTAAGACACTCTATCCTTCTAAAGGTACAACCTATTTGACATTCCAGTTAATGGGAGCTCAATTTTCCCAGTTGGTTCCAGCCAAAAACTCTGGAATCAATCTCTCTCTCTCTCTCCCTCCCTCCCTCTCTCCCTCCCTCCCTCCCTCTCTCTCCCTACATCTAATCTTATACATCCAGATTTTCATCACTTCTCCCATTTCTCTGGCAAGCCACCATCATCCCTTTTTTTTGTTCAAAAATAAATGAAAGTTTCCCTCTCTCAAAGAATCTCTAACTCCTGCTTCTGGGGCCCACCGGGTCCTAACCTGAAGCCTATTATCTGGCAGAGGGAATCTCTTAAAACAAAGCCAATAAATCACTTTTCCCCTCAAAACCCTCCAGCAGCTTCTCACTCAGAATAAAAGCCAAAGTCCCAGCTGTGCTCTTCAAGGCCCTATACAACAACTACCTCCCCCAAGTTCTCATCTTGCCTCTTTGTCCTGCACTGGGCTCCAGCCACACTACTGTCCTTGTCATTCTTTGTATTCTCTAAACAAGACCCCACCTCAGGGTCTTTGAACTTGTGTGGGGAAAGAAAGAACTTTCCAGACCAAGGAACCATCTTTATGGCTTGCTCCTTCACCTTTGTCAGAGCCTTAGCAATGGTCTTCTTGGTGACTTTTAATGGCTTATGTCTTGATGTCCTCCCACCAAAGCCACATGCAGTCATCAGTGGGGCTTTTCAGAGGTGGCTGGATCTAAAGTGTATAATGCTAGGATCATGAGTGTGTGATTACCAAATTCATCCACTGATAGGTTTGGCATAGTTCTGGGTGTGGGTAATGGGAATGTACACTCTGCATATGAGTGTTACCCACCCTAAGGGCATGTAGCCTGGATAGAATATAAGGGACAGAAAGAGGGCTGCTATCATCACTTGCTGCTTCTTTGCTACTTCACTGCTTTGCTGCCTTCTGCCTGCCATGAACTATTTCTCCTCTGCAATGTTCCTCTACCATGCCACCCTGCCTTGGAGCCAGCCAACTATGAACTGAAATGTCTCCAAACTGTGAGCTAAATAAACCTTTTCTCCTTTAACTTTGAGTATTTTGTCTCTGCAATGAGAAAAATACTTAAGACACCTCCCCTGTCCTGTTTGTCTAGAATTTCCATAACCTGCCTTTCCTGCTTTATATTTTCTCATTAAAACTTACAGATATTTGACACATTATGTGTTTTACATATTTATCTTGCTTGTTGTCTGTCTTTCTGATGGAGCACAAATATATTTTGCCATTGTGCTCAGTGCTATATCCCCTGCCTTGAGCAAGACTTGACATTCAATAAATACTTGTTGAACAAAAAAATGAATGGAGACAGCTTCACAGGTGACTGCATTCAAGAGCACTCTAAGTGGTATAGGCAGTGACCACTGTGAGCATCGAGAGGTGAAAGATCATTTCTAGGAAGGGCAATCACAGAAATGTCAAAAGGCAGGTAGGATTTTAACAATTAGGAATCTTTGGGTCAGTGTAGTAGTGGAGACAGCATAGCATATGAGGGTATAATGTGAGCAAAACCAAGGAAGATTATTGTTATAAACAGCACATCTGAGGCCACTCGGAGACAAACTTTGTGAGAAAAAAGGTTTATTCCAGTGAAAATAGACTGAAATTGGGGGCAAATCTCAGCAGCTAGCTAGGAAGAGCCAAGTTTATTACATTCATGTGTGGATGGGCTTACATCAAGGGATAAATATCTATAGCTAGCTGGGAAGGGGTTTAGGCTTATATAGGTCTTGAAAAGGGGACTATTATCATAAGGAATGTTTATGACAGAGCGTCCAAGGATGGCCAGCATAGGTGTGCAGACAATTACTGAACTTCTCAATGCTGAAGAGATTGTATACTTCATCCTGAATTTTCTTTATGGCCATCTTTCCTGTTTACTGAGAATAGCCTATTGTTTGCTGAGAGCAGCCTGTTTGCTCGCAAAGGTTTCATTCAGGCCAGGCATGACAATTGTATGTAGAAGACATGCTGATGGGAGGTGGCACAGCCCAGTGTGGTGACAGTGGAAGTTCCTAGAGTAGGCAGCACTGAAGACTTAGACCAGGGCACTGAGATTTCACCTGCACCCCAAGGAATTAGGGTTTTATGAATCAAGATTCCATACCAAGAGCTGCTTCCTGCTGATATGTCCCTACCATAGCTTACTCTATTGGCACCTGTGCTCTACTTTACCTACAGGAAAAAACAGCATTTCCTAGTGACCCTCAAAAAGCAGAAACCCACATGCACTGTGGCTAACCCATCTCCTTCTATTATTTCCCTCAGTAAAATGGAAAGCCAAGAACAAGCAATGCTTGTTAAGGCAGAAGCAGAGATGCAAGGGAGAGGCTTTGCAGCAGAATCAGAATGAGCAGCAGCAGCATTCCTATGGTAACCAAGAAGACCAGCCAATGAGAAACCCAAAGGCTATTCAGCCAGAGCTCACTATGGCAATGAGTCAGCCACCATCATTTGGGTTTGGCCAGAGACTCAAAGGCATCAGAGGAGTGAGAATGCTTTACAGTGGAAAGCAGGGGAAGGTTTCAGGCTTCCTCTGTTAGAGGCTTTTGCATGAGGAAACTGGAAGTAGGTATCTAGAAGGGGACGGCCTGTGGCATTGGTTTGTGGTATGTTTTCCTTTTCTCTGGTTGGTTCTAAGACGGAAATGAGGACAAAACTTAGGGAAAGTCAGTTATCAATCAAGTCCTAGACATCTGGACCCATTACAGACATTACTGTTTAGCTTCTGGATTGTTACTAGAACTAGGTGTGTGACTTACTCTAAGTCTGACTTATAGCAGGCTGACTTCCTGAGCTGTTGGCGATAGGTAAAGGGCTGGTTTCCTGGGCAGGCTGCTGCAGGTCATGGATCACAGGTCTATAGTTGGTCCATTTGAGTACTCAGTTTCTCCTTCTCAAGAGGGTCAACAGTGTGCCTGACATTTCAGAGCTCCTCTTCAGGACAACACACAATCCATCTTCTCAATCCCTCCTTCCACTCGCCAGCCTGGGCCCCTCAAAGCTGAATCTTTCCTTCACCTTTTCTTCACTGTAACAACCATCCTACCTTGCTTACTTGAGCAAGATGTCTCCTTTACATTTAAAGCTACTTTGAAATTACCTCTATGCAGTGCCTGATAGGCCAAAATGCCCCAGTTCCCCTTTTCTTTCCAGATATTTAAATGTAATTTATTTATTTATTTATTTACATCATAGGGTATTGACAAAAATAATAGTGACTATGTCCATTTCCCAACTGTTGAGGATAGTGCCACATATAGAAAAGTCTTTAGTCAATGGTTCTGAATGATTGATGACCAAGCTACACCTTAGCAAAATTGAGAGCAACTCCAGTCAACTATTTGGAAGAGTTTCAGATAACCTATTGTCTTAGTCTGTTTTCTGTTACTATAAAAAAGTGGTACTGCTTGCTATAAAAAAAAAGTGATCGCCATGGATCCCAGTTGAATTCAGTTGACTTATGAACTCAATTCATTCAAGAGGGCTGGTTGTAACTCAAGTTGGTCAATTGAAGGCTCAGGCTCCCCTACACAGCCTTCAAATTCTCTCTTCTGTATACAGGCAGATCTCAGTGTCCTTAGAGAGACATTGGCCCAGGATTTCTTAATTAACTCCACAAAGGAAAGGATATTGTAATGTTCCTTCCAGGACTCTTTAAGGGTTAAATCTGTTTCTGAGACCATTTGGAAGCATAAGTGACCTGTATTCAGGTTATAACTCAAGACTTTGTTCATAAGTTAAAACTAAAATTCCGGTCCTAACCCAAGTTGTTCATATGTCAGGACAGTTGTAACTTGAGGCTCCACTATATACATATATATACACACACATATATACGTATATATGTGTGTGTGTGTGTGTGTATATATATATATATATATATATCTCCCTCTATGACTGTGGGTTTTACATCTGTGGATTCACCCAACTGTGGATCAAAAATATTCAGGGGGAAAGTTGTGTGTGTACTGAACATGTACAGAGTTTTTTAAAATTTTGTCATTATTCCCTAAATAATACAATGACTATTTCCATAGCATCTTTATTATATTAGATGTTATAAGTAATCCAGAGATGATTTAAAGCATATGAGAGGAAGTATATGGCTTATATGCAAATATACATTGTATTAGATATAACAAGTAGTCTGGAAATGATTTAAAGTACATGGAAAGATGTGCATGGGCTATATGCAAATTCTACAACTTTGTACAAGGGATTTGAATGTGTGCAGATTTGGATATTCACAGGGGTCCTGAAACCAGTCCCTCTTAGATACCAAGGGACAACTGTACATAGTCACTAATTAAATTAAATTCCCACTTATTATAACTATTAAACTAAAAGCCACATGGTAATAACAAGAATGAAATAGACTTTCCATATTCACAATCAAAACTACAAAATAACCTGGGTATAATAAGGGCTAATATAACAGTATCCCATGATGACAATAATTACATAATAAATATAATGAGCAAGAAAAACCATAGATCAAAATCAACTTCTGGAACACCTCAAATCTGCAATTATCCACCATGAATGCTTGATGTGGCCCAAATTTTTGTCCATCCTCCAGTTCTAGCACCATAGTTAAGATCCATCCAATTAAAATCAATGGATTAAAAAATAAATAAATGGATTTTTTAAAAAAACTGCCCATTATAAAACTTTCACTTATATAGTATTATATAAATTATATATTTATACAGTCTTACATATCACTGTTCTAAAATAGAAACAATACACAAACTATTTTACTTTCTGTTGAAATTTTTGTGTAGTTTATTTGGATTCAAATTCTGGATTCAAAAAGTGTAGTCAGGAGGGCCAACACCAAATCTTAAGAATGTAAAACCACTCCATTAATTTTATAAACTCTGAGCTTTGCTCCCTGTTCTTTCTCGCCTCTGATCCTCTCTTGAATTAAATCCATCACCTCCCTGGAATTCAGGTAAGGTCCAGAGGGAATGCAAATAATAAACACCACTTTTCGTTTGCATCAGGCTTTAGAGCTTACAAATCAGCTCACATACTAAAGTCATGTGGGCCACGGATCGTGGGTGAGATACAATCAAATAGCTGTTGTGCTTTATTTCTTAAATATATCAGTCACTGTCAGGGTGAGACTGACACAGGAATCTGTACACGCTCTATGACAAGCCCATAAAATTGCATGCAATCTAATAATGCTGTTAACGGGCCTATCTGCCTGGATTGTGACAACATGTTTCTTCCTCCTCCATCCAGCATACCCTGAAAAATAGGCCAGGTAATCACCTGTAGTGCTGAGTAATAATATAATACCACAGGATTTCCAAGTCAGCTCTCCATAGCTACTCCCCTTCCTCACCCAAAGGAAGATAACATGTTCAAATTAATGCTGAAGACCCTCAGACAACTCCCCACCTGCCTCCCAGTCATGGATCATTCCCTCCTCTCACTTTTTAACCTCTAGTCAAACAGGCTTTTTTGTTATCCGGGGTCAAACTTGGGACCTTGCGCTTGTGAGGAAGGCACCAGAACCACTGAGCTAAATCCCCAGCCCTAAACAGGCTTTTAAAAGCTCCTGCTGGTTATTTCTATCCTCTGTGAGGTTGGGGCTGGATCTCTAATCCATGCAGACAGGGGACATGGAGGAATACAGGGAAGCTACTGGCTTCCTAGTCCTGTGAGGATGACCATGACTATAACACCTCATTTAGTACCAGCAGTTGGCTACACCAGCACCAGTTGCTTATGGTTTTTCCAGCAATTCCTGAACCAGCTTATCACCACCACCTCCCCCTCACCCCACCCCACCACCAAGACACCAGCACTAACTGGCCAGCATCCACTCAGCAGAAGTCTGAGTGGCCCCCTCCATTTAGTGCCATTGTGTCTTTATGAATCGCTCTGTCTCATATGTATTCCTGCTATACTGTATGTTAGCAACCAGGAGGTCCTCAACAGAGCTGAGCCAGCATTGGTGCCATGCTCTTTAACCTTAAAATTGTGCACTAAATAAACCTCTTTACCTTTTAAATTATACAGCTTCAGGAATTTCATTATCAAAATGGAAAACTGACTAATATTGCCCTTGGCTGCTCTGACCCCATTCATTGCTGCTCATTCAACTACTAAATACCAGACAGTGCTTGAAGCTGGAACATAACAGAAAACACAAACAGATATGTCTTTTTACACAATAAAGGCACAGACTTTACAGTGGAGTAGAAAGAGACAAATCAAATTAACACACAAGTAAACACAGTGGAACCTGGGTTCACGCATTTAATTCATTCCATGATTATAGAAAAGATGGTTACATGTTCATGCAGGAAAGATGGCCACAGTCATGTTCATCACCTGATGCAGAGTTCACAAACAAAAACAAAATTTTGCCAAATGCTTCTGTTTGTGAATCAAATTGCAAGTAAACAAAAGCATTCATGAACGGAGGTACCATTGTATAACACTGCAACTGTGGTAACTGCTGAGAAGGTAGGACTTGGTGCTGAATATGTATAAATGGAGGACCTGACTCCCTTAGGCAAGTCAGGAAAGGTTTCCTGAGGAAGTGATGATTGACCAGGGACCTAGGCTTCAGCAAACAATAAGACAATAAGGGAAACGGAAGAGTTTTCCAGGTGCAGAGAAGAGCAAAGCCTCCTAGCAGAAGGAAACACAGTGAGGAAACATCCCAATCCAACCAAGGTCAAAAAGCAGGAAATTTAGCCCAAATTACACAACTCTTGGGTTACTCCCATCACACTACCAATCTTCCTAGTCAGCAACCACTGTCTTCTTTCTACTCAAAATCTACACAGGTCCATCAATTAATTAAAACTCACTCCAGAGGGGAGAAAAATTACACAGTGTATCATGTTTTTTAAAAAGTGCAAAAGCTCGAGCCATCAAAACTGAAGACCTTACCGTGGAATTCAGTTTGTTGTTTCTTTGTTAGGTGTCCTGAGTCTTGGAGATGGTCTGTCAGCAGTACTCAAAAGTGTGGTCCCTGAGCCAGCAGCACAGGGCAACTCCTGTGACCTCATTAGGTATGTATGTTCTCAGCCCCCACTCAAAATCTTTGAATCAGAAACTTGAGAGGTGGGACCCAGCAACCTGATTTAATAAGCAAGAAACCCTGCATGGGCTTCTGTGTACACACAGTGGTCTACGTCAATGGTTCCCTAACCTGTCTAGTCATTCTCATCACCTAGGGAGTGTTAAAATATTCTTCCACCACACTTTAGTATCTATAAAAATCAGATTCTCAGGGCAGGATTTGTGAAACTATAATTCAGATGATCAGCCTGGTTTTGAATCCATGGTTCTATATCAGAGCAATATAGTGTCTGACAATTAATTTCCAAATGCCATTTGTTCTTGCCAGTTAATTAAGGGTAATAACTACCTCAGGCTATTCAAGCCAAATTCAATACATAGCTGTTTTTAGTTTGTTTGTTTGTTTTGGTATTGGGAATTGAACTCAAGACCTTGTGCTTTCGAGGCAGGGGAGGAGCCACTGAGCTAAATACCCAACCCTCAAATTCAGTAGAGTAAGTCCCCCACTTATGAAAGAGTTCCATTCTGGGAGAAGGTTTGTAAGTCAGATTTATTTGTAAGTCTGACAAAGTGAGTCTTACAGACCTTTGACACAAATATACAATGTAAAGCATAAAAAAACCAAACACACACAAATACAGTAAGTACTGTATTACTGTACATTATTGCACTGTACAGTAAGCACACAGCAGCAAAACTGTGACATTGTCCGGCAGACATGTGAGCTACTTACACAATTTGTTCACATCTGCATTCATAATGTGAGGTCCATTCATACAGTATCTGTGAAAGTTTGCAACTCGAATGTTCGTAAATCAAGTACTTACTGTACATAATTTGATGGATAGCTTCCATTTTCTTAGCTCTTTGATTTTAAGATAATGTCTTTCAAAAAAGATTTCCTATTTTGACATTTATTGATAAATGTCTGTCTCAGTCTCATATCATGATAGTCACAAAGTGTATATTTAATAAATGGTTACAAAATTCAAGTCTTGTTATTTTAACTCCGGCCTGAAATTCTGTTCTGGAAAGCATCCCCAAGTTTTAAAATATCAAAAAAGTGTCCAGTCCTGTAAAATCTGTACCCAATTCAGAACTTTTCTTTCTGTATCTGAAAAGAAATAGATTTTCTATTATAGTAATTCAGAACTGTTTTAAATAAGTATACAAATGGGAGAAATTAAGACAATCTCATTTAAAAACAGAAAACCCTTCCAAAGCTAAAAAGAGCAGGTATTATCTTAGATTCATTACTATCCAAAATCATTTTCAAAAGTTTCCCATCTTAGGACTTTCCCATATCCTGAGATTTATACAGCTCATCTGTAATTTAAGTTCTTAAGCAATTGCTGTATATGACTTACTTTTATCAAGACATAAGAAGGTCATAGACCCAGGGAGGAGAAAAAAAATCAGTGGCCATTTTAACATTTTTTAAAAGGCCTAATTATTGGTTAGGATATCTTCAGACAATTTATGGTTAGGGCTGGCAATCTGATTACGTAAAATCTGAATTCATTTAATGATTGCTCCTACCACTCCAATGAAACAAACAAACAACTTCAGTAGTTTTAGGAAATGGAACAGAGGATAGCAAAGAAGAAAAGGTGGCCTTAAGTTACTTGGCCCTAGAATATATCAAGAAGAAATCACAATCTATAAAACTACATAATAATAATGGATTATTTCCTATGGTATGGTATGAGAGAGACAGAGAGAGAGAGAAGAGGAGAGGAGAGGACAGGAGAGGAGAGGAGAGGAGATCCTTTTGCAGAGCACAAAACCTGGAAGGCAGTATCAAGAAGATAAATACCACCTGCTGCGCAAGCGCAAGGACCTGAGTTCGTTCGATCCCTGGTACCAAAAAAAAAAAAAAAAAAAGATAAATGATTTCGGGCCGAGGATTTAGCTCAGTGATTCTGCTGCTTGCCTCAGAGTTCAATCCCTGGAACAACAGAAAAAAAAGAAGATAAATGATTTTATCTATGGAAGTAGAGGATTAGAGCAAAAAAATGCCTGAGGCCCTCTTGCACAGTTCCATAAATAGGCACTTTTTACAAAAGTAACAAATTTCTGTCTCATGTTATATGCAAAAAACCCTAAAATATAATATTACAAAAATATTAGAGAAAAATATTTTTGGGGGGATGACACTAAGGCCTAAAGCCATCAAAGAAACAGGAGTAGTTCCAATCTCACCAAAAGTTAAGACATTAATGAGAGAATGAAATATTTAACAAAAAATTGAGACCTATAGCAAAGTGTTTGGACAAGTCAAAAAGAAAACTACAAGCAATCCAATAGGAAAGTAAAGAATTAGATAAACAATACACAGAATACAATGGCCAATAATAAATAATAATATGAAAAAACGCATGGGTTCATTGGTGTTGGGGAAATGGAAAAATAATAAACACACAAACAAACCATTCTCTCACCCAACAAAGCAACATCAGTATTTTCTCTGCTGTGATAGGAAGGTCTGCTACATTTGCAAAACCTAACACTGGGGGGCCCAGTTCGGCTGCTCTGGACTGAGGGCTACTGGACCTGCAAGGAAAGGCTTCCCTCCCCAGCCAGTACCATACGAATATGGAGAGGGAAGCATGGACACTACGTGGTCCTTCTTCCAGTCTCACTTCATCCTGAAGCACCTGAATGGCAAGGAGGGCCCAGTTGAACTGAGGAAACATTTAACTTGTTTTAAGTTACGCTGTCTTGTACTCTGGCCCATCCCATGTATCAGTAAAGCCAGCTAAAAGATTTATAGCTTAGTGGTAGATCACTTGCCTAGCATGTGTGAAGCCATGACTTCAATCCCCAGCATGGAGTGGGGGTGGGAGGTGCAATACATTGGTAAGTGCACAAATGAAAAGAAATTCTCATGACCTGTCAAGAGTTTTCAAAAAGACAAAAAGATGTAATATATACAGCTCAAAAGATTTAACTTTTTAATAAGGGACCCGCCCTAAGATGACAGAAAAGAATGATGGGATATGATTACAAAGTTAGGCACTAAAGTGGTTAATATCCTATAAGGCTAAAAATAATGTAACCACTTCTTTCCTTCCCTTCTTTTCTACCACAGAAAAATAATGTATCTCTTTACCAGACAATTATTTATCAATACCATACAAATAAACATCTAGCATTACAGTTTGAGTCCAGGTTAATACCATATTTCCAAGAAAATAAAACCTAACTGGAAAATAAACCCTAGCATGATTTTTCAGGATGCTTGTGATATAAGCCCTAACCTAAAGCTAAGCCTCAGTTAAGATCATCAGCCAGATGGACACATTTAGTACATCCGTTGCAACACACAATGGACGTACTGAATTATAAAATAATATATATTATTAATACTTGAGATAAATGAGAATATAAATTATAATTATGTGTAAATACCAAGTGGTTGTATTCAGAGAAGAAGTAAATGACTATGTAAAGAGATGAAATCAAGACTTACTGTCAAATAACCAAGTGAAGCATAGACACAAGGCATGAATAACGTGCACTTGATAACAATGGACATGGTTGTTTCTACTATGGATCTTCGTAATTCAACATGTCATATGTTGTAACAGATGTTTGGTTACAAGACTTCTTCTCACTCTTAAAAATGATTAAGATATTTAACATCTTTTGTTTATGTAGATTAATATCCTAGAAGGCTAAAGAAGCACTGGAAATTAAAACAAAAAATTTAAACATAAATTCATTTAAAAACACTACACATGCATTTACAGATTAATATAAATAAATTCTATTTTTAATACAAAAACATTGGTGACATTTTAGTTTTCTAAATCACCAGGGTTTCAAAATAACTTATTGATGACAATAATTAGATATGACATGTACTAATAAAAAAAATTGGGAAAAAAAAATGTGAACTGAGGGATGGAACAGACAATAAAGGATTATTTATAAGAAAGAATTGGAAGAGAGCAAGGACATAGTGGGGAAAGAACTTACAGTACCACCCATGCAACTTTAGACAGAGCCAACACTCAGGACAAGGTGGTGAGACAAGGGATCAAGATGCACTGGGCATTAAGTCCTGTGGCAGAGATTGTGCTATTTCAGATAATATCTCACATAATTTTATAAATATTACCTCATTTAATTCTGCAAAAAAATAATCACAGACATGACAGAGGCTATAGCAAGAATGACCAATAGTTACTAAGACTACAGAAAAAGTACTGAGTTAATTCCTAATGACTGACATATGTATATTTTCAATCTACCATCTTAGAAAATTCCGGAAAATGCAAGATCAAGGACGCCTTTCCATTAACTGTTATAGTGATGAGATCAAACATCCTGTAACCTTTGGAAAACTACTGTGCATTCATAAAAGAATGAGATTGAAAGGGGAAGTTAATATCTTAGAATTATGAAGTTTCAATTTCACAAGCTTCAAGTCTCAAGGAATTTTTAAAATATACTTTTAATGAGTGCAATTTGATAAGCCTTTTAAAGGCCACTTGACTTTTGATCTTCAGACCATACTACAAAAATATTCAGATAGGCACACATACAGACACAGTGTATTTCACTTGTGTATTCAGCACTGTTCACTACGATACCAATAACTTTAGAGAAAAACTGGAAATAACTTTTTTTCTGATATGGGGGATCAAACTCAGGATCTTGTGCTTACAAGGCAGGCACGGCACCACTGAGATAAATCTCTGGCCCCGGAAATAGATTTCTTCATAGGTGATGCAATTGTAGCTACTCAGGAGGCTGAAGCAGGAGGAATCAAAGTTGCGGGCCACAAATCCATGCAATTAAGAATGAAAAGGGTGAAATCACAGCAGACCCAGCAGAAATCCAGAGGATCATCAATACCTACTTCCAGAACCTATACAACAATAAGATGGAAAACACAGAAGAAATGCACAGATTC